AGAACGAGGGTGGGCGGAGCGCGGGCCGGCGGTGAGCCCTGCCCACCAGGACGCAGCTTTCCCACTGAGGAGCCACTCGAATACAAAAGTACTCCTGGGCGGACTTGTAATGTGTTTCGCCATGGAAACGGCGAGGCTGTTATTTCCAGCTCCCTTCCAGCCCTGATCGCCGGAGTGAAAGGGGCGCAAATGGCGTTACTGAGGGGCCAGCAGCATTATCCACAGGGAAGCGGGAAGGACCGGTGCTCGGCAGCCCAGACCCCTCTGGCACTGCCGCTCCCTCATTCTATCCGTGTTTAAGCACGTGCACACATGTGCACGGGTGTCTGTATGTATAGGTATCATGAGCGTGGTGGGTGTGTAGAGCTAGGTTCCCTTTCCAGAACTGACGTTTAGATTTTACTTTGAAAAAATGCAGAGAACGCCATCGAAGGTCACCAGAAGTCATCCCTGCCTCTGATAAGACGTGGCAGGCTCAGGACAGGAGGGAGGCAGGCCTGGCTGGTCAGGAAAGAACGCGGCGGGCGGGAGAGGCTGGGCCACGGCCGCGGGCTGGCCGGCGGCCCGGGAGCGCTGGGGCGCGAACCGGTGAGGCTGCTCTTTTCCAGATGCCAGATCGATCGTAGGCTTACTGATTAATTTAGTTCTGACAAGCCTTCATTTAAATGTTTGCTCTGATAAATAATTCAGTTACCAGAGGTTGGGAGGGAGTATTTGGAAACGTCCAGGAACCTGGTTCAGAGTCAACAACCAAAGGGCAGGCCTCAGCAAACACTTCTCGGCAAGCAGCGCGGGGCTGCTGTTTGCTGTGTTCTTTTGCAACGTTATACAAATAACCTAGAACTCTGCTAATAAGGAGGGATCGACTCAGTGAGGAGGCAAGAGGCAAGGAGTGATGGCAAGACCGGGCTGCGCAGGTCAGTCCTGCCTCGTTTGAGAGGAGGCGGTGACAAAAGACACGCAAGGACTCCGTGACCGGTACTGCGGCCTCGGAACGCGGCGGCGCGGGGGTGGCGCAGTAAGACGCAGAGGGGACTTTGCCCATGGTCTGTAGCCACTCTTAGTTCCGAAAGACAGTGTCTGCAGAAGATTGGCATCCTGAACAATTAGCAATTGAACAAAGCGCAACAGTGTTTTTGAAAGAAGCATGCACGGACACCTGGGTCCGAACTCCTTGCCTGGCTGCGAAGTGGCGAGGCCCACTTTAAAGCCCCTGGATAAGCATTGCGAGAGCGGAGCTGCAAAACTGCACCTGAGCGGTCGCTGCAGGAGCTTCGCGGTGTATTCAAGTAACCAGGGCAAGCGAATGAGAGGAAAATGAAAAAAGAAATTACTAAGATTAAGGCAGTGGATACAGTTAGGGAAAACTGAGGGTGATGAATCAAAAAAATCTCTAGGGAATTCAGAATTGTTTCGGAGCACAGAGACATCTGGAGAGGTTTTCAGCTCATATTTGAAGATATTAGAATAATCTAAAGATGATAGCTTAGATCACTCTTAGCTATGACCATAGAAGAAAAACTAAAAATAGAGGAAGTGAATCCAGCAGGGCGTTACCTGACTAATTTACTATTACAGAAACTATTTGCACCAGAATTGGAAGAAAAGAAAAAAAAAATTGTATAATAGAGAAACTGTTGAAACAATTGACCAAATCATTGTAAGAAAAACCTCCAACGATGTGTTATCAACTTGACAGAGTCAAGAGAGGTTTTTGACAACAATCAACACCCATCCACTCCTAATATGATTTTTAGTAAAATATAAATATTTATTGCAATTCCAAGGTCAGCAGTTTAACTGCTAGGGCAGAAGAGGCCTTCCTGTATGAGAATGCATCCCATGTTGATACTTTCCTTCCAAAAGTGCTAATCAGTGTGGCAAGACAAGAACAATGAAATATAAATAGAAACATTGGAGAAGATTTTCAGACAGCATGATTTTCTGCCGGAAAAACCCAAGACACAAACCTGAAAAAAATACCACCCCATATAAAGGAGTTCAACGTGATAGCCACTTAAAATACCCAAAACGAAAAGGGCCAGAACACAGCACTGTTATAGCAACCAAAATTATAAAATACATAGAAATAGTATCACAAATAATACTTACAATCTACCCAAGTGTGACAATAAAACGTTTTGACCAATACGAAAATGTCACTATGAAACAAGAAAAAAATGTCAAATGGAGAAAATGCCAGCCAGTAATGATTGCAATGCCACTTGATTTTCTATGAAATACAACCCTAATTCTATTATATTGGGGTAAATGTAACCAGATGATCCAGAATTTTACTCAGAGCATAAAGATGACATTTTAAGCAGTGATGAGGGAAGGGTTGCCAGAGTAAATTACCTAAAACTGTGCAGTTCTCTGGTAAAGGTCCAGGAGGAGCGCACTAAACCGACCTACTAGGTGGGAGTGAATTCAGGTGCATGGAGTTGAGACGAGGGAGGAAGGAAGAGAGGAAGGAAGAGAGGAGGAGCGGGGGGAAGCACATTTGCATCTAGAAAAGCGAACCCTAAGAGGGTATTTAAAACCCATCAAAATCGTACACAGAATTGGAAGAATAAACATTAGGCTCTGTACCGAGCCCCTGAGAACGGGAGGACTGTATGGGAGCCCCGGAGACTGACTGACACTACGCGGCCTTGATTTCCCTAAGAACTGTCGCTAGATCAGGTAAAAGCAAGCACTGGTCTATATTTTAAATCATAAACCTAAAGGTGATTTTTCTGTCCCTGATAGACGAGATGGATCAAAAAGCGTTTTGCTTTGTATTTTATTTTTTTTTTAGCTCTAACTTTACAAAGGATCAGTATCGATCCATACTTTAATATCACCCATAATCCTAAGAGGGAAGACAGACTTAGAGAGATTACTAGATTTATTGTTTTATGTCACATAATATTATAACTAAAAGGGAATTTGGAATTTGTTTACTTATTGAGAGACCTCACGCCATGCAGAATTGTCTTTACCCTCAGAGATACACACACACACACACACACACACACACACACACACTTGAGCTGTCATTGGGCTTTGGCACATCTCTAAGTGTATCCGAGAGCCATTTGGAAGTGGGGCAACTTCACTCATAATTCTCCTGTGTTTCTGACTCTTCTGTATAGCAGGGCTTCACGTTACGAGTCTTCTCACTTTACAAACGACGGGCACCTCAATATTTAAAGGAACTTGTTCTGTTACTGCTCTCTCTTCACATTTAGGCTGTACACAGTCTCACTTTAGTGAAAAAATGCTCCTCTCTTGTACACCCAGCAAACTCTAGCTACCATGCGAAGAATGGACTCAGTCTTCTCAATCTGATCGTTCAAGGAAGCAAATCTACATGGTCTTTGCTGAATTACTTCTGTAACAGCCGTATGTCCCCTCTAACTGGCTATGGTATCCAGAGCAAATTTGAACTAATTTAGCTTGATATCAGTATCACAGTAACTTTATTTAAAAATGAGCTACCCTTTCATTTGATTAACAAAGGAAACAGGTCTAGTGACAGATTTCCAAGATGCTGGAGGAGTTCCTGGGACCTGTGTGCGTGTACTCGGCAGCACGTGCGAGTGTGCAGGTTTGGGGGGGGGCTGTGTGTGCAAGCCCACAGTCTCTGCTGGAAGACACTGCAGCCCTCAGCGTCTCTTTCTGGAGGCGTTAACAAGACCACCTTGGTTTCCGCCCTTTTCTCCACACTTAACACATAAGGTGAATAAAACGCAAAGGGTGGAACATAAACAAGAAAGCGATGAAAAGGAATGAAAATTTCATGCCTGTCTGTAGGGACAGAGGTAAAGTTAGAGAGCTTTCCAGTCCTTCTGAGAGTCAGCAGATAAAACTTGTTTGTAGTTGATAACAAAACCCTTTTACTTTTATGGCGTAAGAGACAGCTTTACAAATATTCATGAATCTTCATAACTATACAGCACTGAATGCAGTAGCGAAATGGTTCTCCAATACATGAACATACTCGTATGTTAATTTTTTCTCCAGTTCCATCTCCCATGGGTGCCCCTGCCAAACACCAAAACTATAAGACTGTCAAGTCTGTATGGGCTACATTATCAAAATTTTGTGATATTAGGAGAAATGAAATGAAATCTTTGTTGTTTGTATAAACATGAAAATGTTTTCTTAGCAATTTTTGCAACCCTAATTCATAATACATGCATCTCAGATGACCAAAAATTTTAAATGATTATTAACCAGTCACTGTGCACTGAACAGTTTTTCCTTTCACTCAATATTTTGAAAATATAATTATGCCATCCCATGAAAGGCAGTTGGAAAGAATTTAGGAGGAAGCAGATGCATTTATTACTTAAGTACTATTTTTCTGACAGTTGGTATCATTTTATAGAGGATTAAATATATAATATTCAGCATCATAATTGATTTGCCTGGGTAGTATCTGTGGCGACTGCCACATTCTATTTGACATTACCACTCCTTTCCAGATCTATGTATATTTTACTATGAGCCTAAATAATTAAATAAGAAGGTAAGGTGTCCCATCATGTGGTTACCACACAGTCAAGGTCAAGTGAAGGGCTTGTTCAAAGTTCATTTTCAGGCCATCCCCGTAGGACTTTGATACAGTCCGTCTGGGGCGATCTGGCGCAGACCGGAGGTTTTGGGCATTCAGTTGGTTCTCGTGATGTGGACCGAAACCGAGGAAACCCTGACTCAGAATTATTCCCCAGACACATTACGGTTTCGGCATTTCTGCCGCTCTGAGTTACCCGTACCACTCATCACATCTACCGACACAGAGAACTGAATTAACTGCGTACGGCGTTGGAACCGATGATGTCTTTGAATTTCAAAGTAACTGCTTTGTCTCCAAAACGTTCAGTGTTTTACCCAATTCTCATGTTTGTGTGTGTGTGGTTGGGATTCACTTAGAGTATAAAGCAGATCATTTTTTATTTTCTTATACATTAGTTTTCAATTTAATTGATTACATTTTTATTTTCTGTTTGCAGGGTACAAGTTGAATTCTTTATGAATGAAAACACATTTAAAGAGAGACTAAAGTTATTTTTCATTAAAAACCAGAGATCAAGTAAGTCATCCATTTTATTCCCCTGTCTTGTGTGTTTGTCCATATATTTCCCTCAAACAATTCCATTGCATACCTTCTGCAAAATATCCTTTAAATAGAGGAGTGCAATAGACAATCTTATCTGCCAGACAGTAAAATTTTAGGAAAGTATGGATTTTACAGCTGCTGGTGTTAAGGTTTCTTGAATTCCTCTAAGTGTCAAATGCCACACCAATACGTAGAGTTCTGAGTGAGCCACCTGGATCCGTGGAAATATCAAGAAAAATGATGTTAATGAGGGGGTCGTCACGGTTTACCCGTGGGGACACCTGACGCTTAGTATGAGAAGTCTCTTCTCGCCCGGACCGATCCTGACAGGGAGGTTAACTGTCGGATCTCGTGGGGGAGGAGCCCAGTGCTGCCCAGTCCTGCCGAGTCACAAAGAGCAGGCAGGCGACCCGCACCCTTGTCTGGAGAATTTGAACCATGAACCAGGAAGTGTAGAGCTAAGCTCAGAGTTTAACGTCCCCATTGGTTCTTGGCATCCGACAAATTGGGGGCAGCCTTGGGACTTTGAGAGGATACGACATTGGCAGAGTCACTGACCTAAACTTGTTCAAGGTTAAAGTGTCAAAGGATCCTTCTTGCCTCCCCAAAATGCCACGCATTTTTAAAGGGCATATACGATGAGCCCACGTGCAGTTTTTCATGCGATCATTGCTTGAAATGCCAACAACCAGGGGAGACCTCTGTATTACATGGGCGTCAACTCTGCTCTCTCAGGGGACCCCTGAGCCCTCAGGGGCGGTCTGTGTTAAGTCGGGCCTCTCAGGGTTCGAAGGGGACAGCCTGGGCTGCGGGAAATCACTCAGAGGCTGACGACGGGGACCCTCCAGTGTCCGGCACACCGGTGAGGCCCCCTGCACGGCAGGGTGGCTTTGGGGAGAAGGCCGATGGCCACCCACGCCTCTCTCATTGGATGGCGTAGGGTTTCCGGGGGAGCCCTGCCCGTAGATGCCCCCTAACGGGGCCCCGTCTTTTGAATAAAAGGTTTCCTTGATTTTAATATTAACAATCCTGCCTCTCCAGGCCAGAAAAGGTAAATGCATTATTTGGCTATTTCATCAGTGGCCGGCTTTGAGTAAGAAGACATTTGAGGAGACAAGTTCTATAAAGCCAGGACAATTTCATTAATAATTTAAAAGACTTTCTAAAGAAGCTAACCCATAAAATGCACGTAGCATTGTAATAGCGAAGCCTAGGAAAAACTGCACAATTAATGAGCATTAACCTTTTACTGTTAAGAAATGTCACTGCAGGTACGCTCACATAGAGCAGGACGAGAAACTGACATTTCATTTCCAGATTTTATTAGCTAATAATTATAGGAAGGCCTTTCTCTCAATGTTATTCGTAATGCATGAATCAGAAACTGCCTGATAATTGCAGGAAAGGTAATGCTTCTATTAATCAGACTCCAGGCATGTTTTGCTAATCTTCATTGCTCTTTTTCGTATTCATTAAGTATGACAGACTGCATAACTGTGACCTACACAGTTTCAAAAGGTACATACATGACAATCTTAATCCCCACAGAAATATTAAGATTTCATTAGTAATTAACCTAACATGAAAAGTAGAATTCAACGGGTCAAATTCAAAATGTGTGTGTATCTGTATTTCCCAGCATATTCTATTATGATTTCTCTATCATTATGAAATTACTAATTGGACGTATAATATATAATTATAGACATGATTATAATTTCTCTGCAATTAAAATCTGCAAGGTATTCTGGAGGTACAAGTTGTATAACTTATCCTGTGAATACGTAAGCCGCTCGATTTTCTAGCTGGCTAAAATTCACCCCTAAATTCGTGGACGTATGAAATGCTTACCCTCTGGGCACACCTCAGCCAATCTGGGTGCGACGTAGTTTCTGTGGACACTGGGCGCTTGGGCCTCGGCTCACGGTTTTCACGTATGTTTGCTCTCATGTGCAGTTCAAGTGTCCCTGCAATCATACCCTTTGTTTCAATATTCACATAATTAAAATCCAGCTACCTAGAACTTCAGGAGTTGAGACAATTGTGGTATTGTAGTTTCGAAATACAATTTGAGTGCTGTACTTAAAGTTGATATTTTTGACAATTCTTTTTTAGTCTTTTGTCGACTAAGTTCAAATGAAAATCAAATTTCTGTTGTTTGTTTAAAGGTCTAAGAATACGCCTGTTCAATTTTTCTCTCAAATTATTAAGCTGCTTACTATACATAATCCGAGTGCTATTAGAAAACCCTTCACAAGGAAACGAATGGTAAGGCACTTCCGTCTGACCCTCAACAGTATTCTTTTGATTACTTTGAATTGCATTATAATTTTAAAAGATGTTATATAGAATTATTTTTTCCAAGAATGTTTTAGGTTGTTGCAATTAAATTGATTGGCCTTTCAGGTAATACACAAGTATCATCATTGTTAAGTGCTTTTTAAACATCTCTGCTTATAGTCTTTATCTGTTCCTCTAATGCTAAGACTGGACACCTACCCATACACTTTTTACTGCTGACAAAAACTCTGCTTCATACAGGTCCGTCTCTTTAAACACCCAATAACTTTCTGTTCTTTGTTTACGTGTATTGCTCCACTATGTACCAGCTTTGTAAGTATTTTCAGTGATGGTCTAGCTGTTGCTCTTGACTAGAAACGCACCAACATCCATGGGGAGCACATGACGGTCAGGTTCAGAGTTAGTTTGTGTAGCTCTTTCTCTTACTTGAGTTAAATGGTTTATTTATTTAACTTACTCTTTATTCATGATCATGTTGCTTTTATGAATTGCGCTGCCAGGCACCGAAAGGTTCTCCTTTTTATCCTGCCTCTGCTGGAAGCAGCAAGTCAGGGGACTCTGGGTGCAGTGGCTTGAGTAATTTTTGTCTGATGACCCCCGTGGGTCCCTGTCCAGCCTGCTGCATTTAAAATGGTTTGCAAAGCAAAAAAAAAATGTCGATGGCTAACTTCTGGACAATTATTCTTTCATGTGGCCATTTGCCCTATGAAAATTTCCAAAAAAAAATTAAAGTAAAATGAACACTGAGGCCATAGATGCATTCAAATGAATTGGTTCCCTTTCAGTTTGATTAGAAGGGAAAACGATTCTGTATTTGTTGAGGGGTTTGGAGGTGAGTTAAAGAGTAACAAGTGACATTTTGTTGTGTAATAATTTAGGTGATAATTCTTTAGAAAATAGTATTTATTGAAAGCATTGTTATTTCACTGTGTCTTTATTGAACACTTAGCTTGTATTTGTATTGCTATGAAAAGGAACATTTTCTACCCTCAGGGAATTTTCAATCTGTAAGAAAATTGTATATGCTGGAATTATCACTTTTTCTGGCACTGGGCTACTTGTCTTACGGACGTTATTTCCTTCAATATATGTACATTTAATCCCATTTTCTCAGTTTTCTCATATTGGCCCTCAGTACTGATCTTTTTTTTTTTTTAACTTAGCCCAAAGTGTATATACATATATTTCTTTGCACTCGATATTACTCTGTACTAGTTTCAGGCGCACAGCACAGTAGCCAGACAGTCGTGCGCGAGTGGCCCCGACGTTTCCAGCGCCTGCCTGGCCCGGTGCGCAGAACGGATCTTTCTGCGCCTTTTCGGCTGCTTAACTCGCCGCTCACATTCTAAGTGCGAACGCAGTCCCGCCGCTCGGATGTCACCGCAGCCGGCTGGGCCGCGGTGGGCCTCCCCGGGGCTCTCGCCCCGACCAGGGAGGGCAGCTCTGTCCCTCCTGGGGCCCGGCTGCCCCGGCAGCCCCGCCCCCACGGCCGCTCCGAGGCCTGGGCGGCCACTCTGCGCGCCTGCAGGGCCCGGAGGAGGTTCTGCTGTGTCTGCCTCCACCTTGTGCTACCTCCGCCCGGCCCCTTCGCGAGGCCACCGCCCCGCACAGGCCGCCTCCTGCCACCTGGGTGGCCGCAGTCACACCCCCCCCACCCACAACGAGTCCTGTGGATTCTGTCTTTGCTCCCCCTGGTTTATCCTGAATGGAGAGGCCAGGATTCCTTTAAAACATAAGTCAGATGGTGACGTGGCTCTGCTCCAAATGCCACGACGGCCACCGTGGCCTACAGGGACCCCTGCTTCCCCGGGAACTCTGCCTCCTCACGTCGCTTCTGCTGCCACACTGCCCCCCACCACCCTGCTGCCCCCGGGCCTCCTCCCTGCTCGCGGGTCCTCACCGGGCCCACGGCGAAGGGCTCAGCGCCTTCACAGCGGCTGTTCCTCCTGGAATTCTTGCCGCCAGGCACCGCAAGGCCCACGTCCTCAGACCCTGACTCGCAGTCCCACTCGCAGGGCAGCCTGGCCCAAACACCCTGCTTAGAGCGGCGGTGGCCTCGGAAGGGAGCACGGCTTTTCCTTTCGGCGCCGCCTTCCTGTCCCTTACGCATCGCACGCGTTCTGCCGGGTTCCTCGGCCCGGCCCTCCGTGCGCTCCCTGCGGATGGCCCTGGCTCTTCTGCGAGGGCGGAGGCCGCCGCCCGAGCCCCTCGAGCCTGGCGCGCACGAGGCCCTCCGCGGTGACTTAGCCCGCGAGGGAGGGCTGCGCGAGTCCGTTGGGGGCCCTTTAGCCCTGGGTCCCGCTCACCTCTCCCCGCCGCCTCCTGCCGCGGGCGCGCTCACCTCTGGGAACCACCAGCGCACGCAGACTCTGCTCCCCGTGCTCTGGGCCACGGGACGTTCTGCCCTCACTCCTGGGGCCTCGGTCTCTACTTCTGCCCCTCACCTGCTTTAGGACTCACTCCTGGACCTTCGGGTTGACAATTTCCTGGGTGACACTGAGTCTGAAACTCTTCCCCGTGGCCACGCCCAGTTCTAGCGGGGGTGAGGAGTGGCCTCCGGCTCCCCCCGACTATTTCTGCCGCAGTTCTTAACCCGTTGGCGTGGGCTTTACTGCAGTTGACCCTGGAGCAACACGGCGGGGAGGGGCGCCAACCCTCACCCCGCCGCGCAGCCGAAAATCCGTGTGTAGCTTTTGATCCCCCCAAACTTAGCTCCTCAGAGCCTGCTGTTGACCACAGGCCTTACGGAGGGTAGAAACAGGCGACTAACACATATTTTGTATGTTACACGTACTATATACTGTATTCTAACAATAAAGTAAGCTGGAGAACGTTTCTAAGAAAACCGTAAGGAAGAGAAGACACATTTACAGGAGTCACTGAAAACACTCGTCTGTAAGTGGGCCCGTGCGGTTCAAACCCGTGTCCCTCAGGGTCGACTGCATTTATGTCCGCGTTCTCTCTACGTGTCACGGAGGACAAGGACCCTGGTGCACTTGCCTCTGGAGCTCCTCTGCTCAGCTTGCGACTTGGTGGGGCAGCCAATGTTGCTGGATTAATGGAATTAGGTTCAACAGCTTGCTGAGAGCGTTGCATCATCGAGGTGATTCAAGGCCACTGCCTAGAGGTGTCCCATTACAAATCCTTTCAGAAACGTGCCCGAACTGCTTTTAAAACTTGCTGACTTATGCGTGACAGGCACCTTTGGGAGACCTGAAAATCACAGATCGAGTCACGACAGAGTCCTTCCAAGGGGAAAAGTGCCCTGGCGGGGGAGAGCAGACGAAAATTATATTATTTGAAAACATTACGGGGAACAAAGTTTCCTACCATTAGCTTCTATGCCATGCTACTAAGAATATTCAGCCATAATTATAGAGGATATACATATGAAAAATCAGATTACTGCACTAGCAAACAACCGAAAGAACTCATGGCTCCATTTTGAATAAATGTTCTGTTTGGTTCCCCTTGTCCAGGCAGGACTGGTTAATGAAAAACAGAAGTGGCCTTTATGGACACAGGCTCTCTTTTAAAATAATGAGGCTAATTCAGCAAGGAGATTTATTTAATTAGAGATGCTGCCATAATAACGCGGAGGATATTTTGTTCTGTTTTGCTTTAGTTTTAAGTCCCTTCAGCCGTCAAAACTGATGTGAAAATGTTAGAGTATGAACAAACCGAATGATAGAAAGACAGTTCTATTGTTCATGTATGCAGTTGTGTAAACGGCAGACTCTGGGGTACATGCAGTTTGTAGTGAATGATTTAGGGGCGTTAGCAAAGGACACGACACACCCAGCGTCTGGTTTGTGCGCTTCATCGGGAGAGGAGCCGCCAGGTTTCCTCTCTGCCTCCTGGTGCCGAGCTTTCTCCACTCCCTGCCAAAACCCAGGTGTCCTTTTCACTTTAGCATTGGTGAGTCGTTACTAACATCAAGTGACAGACGCACAGGTATGAGGCCCGTGAACGTGCTCATATTGTATGGTATTTGGGTTTGCATTTAACATCAGTGCCTCACCTAGCAGCACGTGTGTTCAGGTGAGAGACCCATTGGAAAGATGATGCCGTCTTGAGGGTAACAACTCTTATAAGAAGAAATACAACTTGGACAGTATCTTTTAAATGCTTGGTCACCCACAGGAATGAATATCATCACGTATGTCAGTTACAGCAGAGATGAACGTAGGGCCAAATGCTTTGACATAGAGTCTCAAAAATTCAAAAGAATTTTTTTTTGTTTACTTGTGTCTAAGGCTGGTGTTCCTAGTCAGTTTTCAAGACCTTTTCTCCTTTTCTACACACACACACACACACACACACACACACACACACACACACACACACTCTAACAGCGCAAGGACAATATGTGCCAGCCCCTTTCACTGTGTGCCTCTCTGTTGGCCTACGGATCCTTTGCGCTCAGCTTTCAGAAACCGGGAGAACACAGAGAAGGGACACAGACTTCCAAAAATTACAGGCCACCACTGTCTTTCAGACTCAGGTCTCATGTGGCCATCAGTCGCATCCTCGTGCCTTGACCCGAAGCCTCGGAGATGCAGCGGAGCGCGGGGAGAATGAGCGTAGGCAGAGCGGGGCTGGCGCCGCAGCCCATGCCCAATGCGGAGGCCCCCAGAGCCCCCCCAGCCCCGCCCCGCGCCGCGCCGCCAGCCTCTCATTCTCTCCCCAGCAGCCCGACAGGGCCGCGCCTGGCCCGGTGTGGAGTCTCTCCAGTGTTCTGAGAGGGTCCAGCTATTGCAAAACCTTCCTGATATATTGTCGAGTCCCCTATGCTTTGGTGTCTTGATCACTTCGGTGTGGGGCTCATTAAATTTTGCACGTCCTGGAAGCGTGGGTGTAGGACTACCCTTAGTGCTCAGTTGCTGGCGTCTGTCATGTTTAGCGGTGCTTTCTAACTCTCCTCCCTGGTGTAGACCATACTTTTGTTACCAGGGTACAAGCTTGCGTCTGTTTCCTTCGGAAGGCCATCAGTCCACGTCCTTCTCGAGCTTGTGACCCGCAGGCCTTTTCCCGTGAATTCTGCCCCAGCTGCTGACCCTGCCGCTTTTGTGTGTTTACGCAACGTGTTATTCTTCTGGGGGTCCTACCCGCCCCCCACCCCCACCCCAGCTGCCAACGCTGAGCGGACGTTTCCAGCGCAGTTTCCCGGCCCGTGGGAGAGGCCACCGGTGCGCGTGCTGTGGGAGGCGAGGAGGCCTCCCCACACTAACTGCCCGTGTTCTGCTTCGGCTGAGGCCTCCCTTGTTTGACGGGGCTCTTCCTCTTGTGACAATGACGCTTCAAACATGAGTTGTATCTAGAGGCCCAGCTTCGCTCAGAGTGAATGACACCCGTTTTGCTTTCGTGTTTTCTTCTGTTGTTCCATTTTTATTTGCGTCATTTAACGGTGAACTTTATTTTTTATTATTTTACAAATGGTTTATGATGGTTATAATAAATACATATGACAAGGGAAAGGAGGTAAACATCTAAAATCTCAACGCACAAGAAAGCACATTTTGATCAGTCTTCGTAAGTTCTCCCTCTGGATGCACAGAGACGTATAATGCACTCACACTGACATAGTTAGGATGATATCCCAAGCATTGTCTTTATGGTTGACTTTTTCCTCACCTGCGGTATTTTTGCTGTCGTCCACGATGATGAGGCTACTTTTGTGTCCTCGTTGGAGGGTGTTCAGGCAGATGCCACCTACCTCCCTGGTGTAAATGCCGCTGCAGCAAACACTCACAGTCACGCGCCGCCTTTCCTTCCTCCCATCTTGGCGGATGGGGTTGAAGGGTCAGTTGAGATGATGCTCTGGCTGCCAGGCTGCTTCACTCCTCATTTGTTTCGGACGTTAACTAAAAACGCGCAGATCGGCTCTAGATTGTTTTTTGATGACTAATCTGATTTAGAAAGGGCAGTTTGGTCACTAGCTTTTTATTAGAATTTAGACATTTCCTTCTATGCATTTATCCAATTTAGTGCTTAGTAAATGGGTGGAAAAAAAGGACTTTCCACTGGAGACCTAACTTCACACTGAAATTTACATAGTTGAGGTTGTCAAAATGTCTTTTTTGGAGGATTATGAAAGCTATGCTATATTACATAGCCCTGTCTAAAAAAAATATTTTCTTCAGGGTCTTCTTTACATTTAAATGCTGCATGACATTTTAAGAACTATGAAAAGAACATCCCAGTCCAAAGAAAATACTGTCAGTTTGATAAAACTAGCTTTTAGTAAATTCATGTTAATTTCCAATTTCCCTCTGGAAGTGCTCACAGACTCATGTTGAGCAATTTATTTTTAATTTTTCAGATATTGGTAGAGACTTTCTTCCTATTTAGTAGTTTTTGTAGCACTGCATGTTTCTACCTACAGAAACTGCATGTCTCCTTTTGCTCTTCCATACCTCGTTTTGGTCGGATTTCCGAAATGTCGCTGCGACCGTGGGACACGTTTGGAAAGGGCAGCGTGGCCGGGCTCACCGCCACCTTTTTGACTTTATGGGAGCCGTCCCTGCGCTCACATCGATGCCCCGCCTCCCGGGCTCACGCACGCAGCAAGGCCTGAGGATTGCAATGGTCACCGGAAAAGGCTTGCTGTTCCATTTTACGGAACCTGCAGTGCAGTGAGGAGACATCGAGTAAAGAAATACATTTACACATAAAATACAGCTACAACCGAAACCCGTGGCAGGAAAGTGCTGCGAGCGACAACACCTGAATATTAAGTCACAGCTGAGACACGTGGCAGGGAAGTGCAGTGAGCGACATCACCTAAGACATTAGCTGGCCCCTTTGATGGAGGGGAAACCTCCGAGAAGGTTTCCCTGAGAAAGGGCTGAGCGGAGAACTCTCGGATGAGTCAAGGGCTGAGATGGGAAGGAGAAGCCATAGCTGAGTAAGTCTCAGTATGCCACGCTTAGCGTTTGGTTCCTGGGCGACGGAAGATTTGACTTTGGATGGTGAATACACAATGCAATATACAGATGATAAATCATAGAATCGTACATTGAAACCTGCATAATTGTATTAACTAATGTCACCCCGACAGATTTAATTTAAAAAAGAGTTTTGGTCTTCAACTTAACCAAAGTGCAATGCCAATACACAGTGAGGCAATGTGAGCAGGACGGATTGAGAAAGACCTGGCGTGGCTGTAATTTGGAGGAACCGTGTAGGAGACAAGGAGGCATGGGGTCCCGTTGGGAAGGCTTTTGCAAGACTTCAAAGGAAATGCAGAAAGTGACAGTTTAGATCAAGGTAGCTGGGGGAGTCGAGATGAGCAAAGGTGGGAAAATCTGACCGATAGCTGGTAGGCAGAACCGAACGGGTTTGATAGCTGATGGGTTACGCATTCACAACACAGTTGAGGAACGTATCCAAGATGCCTGAGTTTTGGGGTAAAGGAACATGGTGGGATTTCGTGCCACTTACTGGGTTGTGGAAAACTGGGAGGACCAGGTGTTGGGGGAAAGGCCACAGGTTTGGTTTGGAGCAATGGAGGATGTCAATTACCCAGGTAGATAGGACATTCTGGAATTACAAGCTACTTTCATATACTAAGAAGTTTCTTTGAATAGTCCTTTTAAGTTCTGTAATTCTATTTAAAACAAGAACTTTAAAAGAGTTTATAGTTTTTTGTTGTGGCTTAACATATTACCAAAAAGAAGATGACCTAAAGGTTTAAAAGTAAACAATATTTTGTGGGAGGGCTCGCTTGTTCCCTAGCTATAAAGAATGAGTGGGTTTTATTGTGCTTGTTTGCATTTGATGTTTTTGAGTTTTTATTTGCATTTTGGGGCAACATAATTATTTTAACCTTTTCCCAAACGGGTATATTGCTGTGACTGACTCCCATTTGAATCACTGCTTGCCAAATACTTTAGATAAGGATAGGGTATAAAAATGAATAATTATAGCGAGTGAGCCACTAGAAATGTTACACTGCTCTTTGCAGAGTATAAACTATTTTTGACACCAAAGGTGAAAAGATTTTTTAAGAGATATTGAAGACCAGACACTCCTTGTTCTGTATAATGTTCCATGCTCTCCTCAGTCACAGGTTTTTGGTGGTATGTTTTTTCTTTAAATCCAGATATGAGATATTAACATGCTCTATAATCTGAGTTACTGACTTTATTTGGATTATTAATACTGTTGAAATTGTACTGCCAAATGTGAACACCTTTAAAATTAATAAAATCTTAAGGGTTCATAGTAGTTCTTTAAGTGACTTTTCAACGGAGAATCTGACTGGGGAAGGGTTTGAGGGTGTTGGGCTCTGCTATGACCACTCTTTAAACAAAACCCCATTATCTTTTTTTTAAAATTATTATTAACATGAGGCTGACAATGAAATTTAAAAAAGGGTATTTCATGGAATAGAATGGACTATTATTAAAAAAGAAAACAAAGAAATATAAAGATTTCGTAATTTTAATTTTGATATTTTATTGTATTTTCATGCTAGCATTATTTAAATATTTTCAACGTCAGTCAAAATTTTAAAATGAACACATTTCCCACGTTTTTAAAAAGTAACTTCTTGTCATTCTTTTCACAGGTCCCATATCTTTTGGGTGAACAGAAGCTTGCCGTTGTGGGGCCTACAGGTTATGTACAAGTTTGTTTTATCCCTGTATTTCTGGATTTATTCCTGTTTCTCAGAGAAATACTATGGAGAGAAATGCTTGATATTAAAGATGAGTTTGTTTTATTGCTTAATTAATCATGATGCGCATCTTAGACTTCTTTCGTCCTGTTTGCTTGAGCCCTGCTTTCCATTGTGAGAGCAATGGGATCAGACTCAGGTTGCTGTCCGGGGCGCAGAGAAAACCCACGTGAGCCCATGGTTTCAGCGCCACTAACTCCCCCGACCAGCTTCCCAAACTCCTGTGCTACAATCCTTGAGAAACTCCTCAAAAAGCCCGTATCCAGGTTTGCTTTTTTCCCTGGGCCCTTGGTCTCTGAAACATGTGAGAATCCCAATAAATAATCAGTACATGAACAATCAAATGCACGGCTCATATTACCAACGGCAAGAGCTCGGTGCCTAAGCAGGTAACTTGTAAAGCAAACAAAAAGCCTGCCCTGGGCTGGGAAGTCCCGAGGGAGCTGTGAGACGCAGGCGCGCCAGCCCCGCGTGTCTGCGCTGCAGGGGTGACGCGAGCCCTAGGCCCTCTGCGTCCCACCTGCTCCCTTTCCTCTTGAACGTCATTCACACCAGCGACCTCCACACAACTTTCCGTCTCTGCCTCCTCTGTCCTGCCTCCCTCCTACAAATGCCTTTTATCTTGTTATTTCTCAAAAGTAAAAATAATTCTAAGACTAGAGTGACTCTGGAAGATACGGGACGATTCCAAGCCTCGCTGTGCGTGCACGGCCTGTAGAAGGCTTTGAAATCAAAGGCTGGGTTTGTCTTTTAAAGTCACGATGGTCGTGACGTCTGTACATTTTATAGGCCATAATGAACTATTTCAGTGATGTATGCGCTGTGGTTGTAATTATGAAATCAAAGTTTTTACTGTGTCTGGATGTTTCATATTTTATTGAAGCGGGTTGCATTTTACATTGCTTTACACCGACGTTCATCACCGTGTGATTAATTCACAATGACTCTCTTCGCGCACCGCAGTGTGCGCTAAAAATGCACCCCCTTAGTTTCTGAGCTCGATCCCTATATTATCCTCCAAGGAGGAGCGCATTTAAAGTTAGTTAATATTTTTGCCAATAGTTATATATGGCCGTGAAACACATGTTGATCTATTCACATAGCTTTTATCTAATAACGATGTTTTAAAATAATAATAGCACTTATTTCCAAATAGGAGTTTGAGTAGTTACGCCAAACATCTTGTAGAGGTTGTCTGTCATGTGTAGCTCCAGGAAAAAGCAGGGATGGTTCGAGCGATTTGCAAAGAAGATCTAAGAGGTGTGAATTTTTTGTCATGAGAATGTGCAGCTGATGTATGCACTTTTGAACATACTGTACTTATATTCCTTTGCATTTATAAGTTTTTAATTGTCCTTATATTTTCAAATTCACTTAAATCGAAGCTGTCACTCCCGCGGAGGGGGAATGTGAAGCCCCAGGGCGTCTGCCCTCCACGGCTGGCCCGGGCCTCGGCAGCCCGTGAACAAACGTGCGCGCCGTCTGAGTCTTTTCTTGCTTGTGCTCCCTCCTTTTGACTCTATTCTTCCATCCTGAAGGGCTTACAAGAACATTGGGATGTCTTTTCTAGTTCCTCTTTCTGTTGGACTGCTGTTTTGGGCAGTGCAGCCGCGGGACTGTCAGCGCAGGGAAAAGTGGGAGTAGCTCAGGAGCAGGGAAGTCAAGCCCTTCCGGCTCAAGGGGAAGATAAAGTCTGAAAGTCGGCGGGGGCGCTGACAGGGACTCTGTTGTTTCGTGTCCAAAAGTGCTGCTGTTGCATTCCGTGAGGCAGGTGGCCGGACGGACCGCGGCCAGCCCGGAGCTCGTGTGCTCTTCTGCCGGGGGCTGCCGTCTTGGGCGACTGTGCCGCGGGCTCTGGCGGAGTCGCTGGCGCAGGGTGTTATTTTGCAGGGGGAGCGGGGGGGAGGGGCAGGGCCGTGGGACTGTTAGGAACACACACAGCAAAAACCTGTTCTTCCCATGTCATGCAAACTCCAGCCAGCCTCACTAGCCCAATCCCACATCTTCATTTGCAATAATCAATCAGAAAAGATTAAGGAGATTTATTAAGGATAAATGAAGATTTAGTAAGATTTATGAGAAGCGAGCAAAGCCACGCTGTGGTGCTGGGGACGGCCTACAACCTGCCACCTGGATGTGAGTCCATGTGCCCTGTAATACCTCCTATAGTGTGTCTGTGTGTATCCCGTAAATATATCTAGGTACATAATACACATGTGCAAATATTTATACATTTATTAACTTTATAAATTATAATCAGGAATATAATATATATTACATATAGTATTATAATCATCTATATATTATTTTATTTTTGTAACATTTTCTCATTAAGTTAAAATTTATATTTTAGGTCTTAGTGGCCTTGATAAGTCTGTTTGAAACAATTCTACTTGGTTATCTCAGTTACAAGGTAAGCTTTGTTCATTAGACGTTTTCTGCTGATAGAACACATTAAGAGCGTTTACCCAGCTTTCCTGTCCTTATAATTCATACTCCGGGGATAAAACAAGCTCTTCCTAAACCACTTTAATTATTTTGAACCTCTCTAGTATGTGATTAAAAAAACTTAGTAATACAGTAACGTTTTCCTTGGCGGCTTAAAAACACTTCACTAAGTCCTTGGGGTTAGTTTATCCATTATATGCACGCTCGGATGAGTCAAGCAAATGCAACGGTCTGGTCTTTTATTGTTCTCAACCTCTTTTCCTGACTTGTGCAAAAAACACTGCGGGAACAAAAACGCGTCTGCTAGGAATCATTAATGAATTCTCTTAATTTTTGGCAAAGCTCTGCTTGGCTAATGCAATTTAACCAGTCCTCATGGAGCCTCTGTTGGATAAGGAGCTCCCGACGCGGCGTTGTTTCTTCCGGGGAGCTCACTGCCCGCATCACACACGCAACGGGAGGAGGCAGAGCGACTGGCTTCCTCTGCGGGGCCAGGCCCGACTGACTCTGCAGAGCCCTGGGATCAGGGGCTTCACTAAGGAGAGAGGAAAAGACAGGGCCCTAGGAATGTGCAGAATGAAGGGAGGCCTGAAGGAAGGCATGCGCACGGGATCTCAAAAGAAGAGTAAATATTCAAGTGTGGCCAGAATAGGGGGCATTTACGGAACTATTGGCGCCAAACGTTTGGGACAACATTGTGAGCGCCCGGGACAGTCGCGGGCAATGGGGCCTGAGGGAGGGGTTGCCATGGGAGTTCCATAGTGGTGGTTAAATGGCAGGGCTGTTCGTTCGGAAAGTCTGGGCACTGCGGCTCAGAGGCGCACCGCGCTGAAGGCCCTGTGCTCGGTGGAGAAGACGCTGTCACCGTTTGGAAGGAAAACGGGGAGTTAGTGTCCCGCTGGGTGAAGGGGACAGATGGATTTGATGCAAGATAAACTGCGAAGGCAGACACTGAAGGAATCCACTGACTGTGAAGGAAGGGAGTCTGCTAAGTGTGGGAAAATATCCAAGGGAGCAGCCTGGGCTGAGGCTGGTGGGGACGCGGCCTTCACGGCTCCTGGGAGAGGAGCAGGGCCCGGAGGCCGGGGGCAGACAGGGCGGGAGAGAGGCATCGGAGCGCTCGCCGTGTTCCTCGCTGAGTTTCCGCTCGCAGTTTCTGCGTGTGCTGTGCCCAAGGCTCTATTTTGGGGGGGACGCTATCTAGCAGATACCCATCTTCCTCACTTTTTAAAACGCAGGGGTTTGAAGATAACAGTCCTTAGACTACTTTGGAACCCTAAATGCAGAGCAAGTTCAACCCCAAATGAGGCCCTCTTGCATGTGAACCCCATTGAAGTGACCGTAGGTTTTCTTCTTTGGGGTCTGTATATTTGGTTCGCAGAGGACAGGCCCCTTTGCCTTACAACTGGCCTGACTGTGGCTGGGTCACACCTCCGTGCTCTCTCTCCCTGCAGGCCCCGTGTGTTCGACGTCTCAGGCACGAGTGTCAGCATTGCTTGGTCTGTGTGTGTGAGCCTTGCGCCTCAGCGGCGCACGTGCGCCCACGCCGCTTAGCTGTAGGGGGCGCCAGACGCCGCTGGCCCTGTAGCATCTCTGCGCAGAGGAGACTGTTCTCACTGCTTCCGTTTGTTCTGCCCGCGCCCCCCGACCCCCGCCTTTTATACAGTCTGTAGACAGGTGGCGAGCCAATAACAAAGCCTATCGCATAATATTTTAGCACATAGACGATAGCCAACCCAGAACCGTGTGCAGGAATTCCCACTGCGGTATTTTAGGCCGTAGGGACAGGCAAGAGAAGGAAGAAAGATTCCCAAGCTTATAGCCAGTGCTGGAAAGTAATGGGAAATTGCAGGGAGCCAGATTTCAAACTGATTTTCTAATACACAGATCTCTTCATCGGAGACAAGCTGCTTTAGGGCGCTCTGAGTTGTTTTTTTCACTGGATACCATTCAAGAACGTTCCAGTGACGAGGATTTTCTACCAGGGTGGACTTCCTGGGTGTGTCGTCCGTGCAGTTGCGGGCAGCCCGGGTTTGGTGCAATGTTCTGATGTCAGCTTTTTGAAATTGTTCATAATTTGTTAAGGGGAAGCCTCCCGTTTGCATTTGCACTGGGCCCTTGAATTGCATAGCCCATTCTGACCAGTGCTGTTGTGCTGTGTAGGCTGGTGGGTGAGAAAAACCCCTTCCTTTACGTTTTCTTAATGTCTAAACAATGTTAATACCAATGATCATCATTAACACATAGTATGTTTAGGAGCTATTTAATATGCTTTGAGACATGCCTGAAATGTTACTGCCTATGTTTCCTTCTAGGATTTTTATGGGTGCATGACTTACATTTAAGTCTTTCATCCATTTTGAGTTTTTTCTTGTGTATGGTGTAAGTCAGCGATCTAGTTGCATTTTTTTTGCATGTATCTGTCCAATTTTCCCAACACCATTGTATGTTCTTGCCTCCTTCGTCAAATATTAGTTGACCATAAAGGCATGAATTTATTTCTGGGCTCTCTGTCCTGTTCCATTGATCTGTGTGCCTGTTCTTATGCCAGTACCATGCTGTTTTGATTGCTATGGCCTTGTAGTATGTTTTAAAATAAGGGAGTGTGATAGATTCAACTTTGTTTTTCTTTCTCAGTGTGACTATATTTATTATAGTAAACATTATAACGGTCACTTTTCTATTGATTCTACAGGTTTTGTTAGTCTTTTTATTTTTACTGGTAAATATTTTTGATCAAATATTATATGATCAAAATTTGTTATGTGCAATATTCAAGGATTACTGTAACATTTGTTTTGCTTCTTAAACTTACTACAAAATTTAGAGGGCACAATTATGTTTAGAAAAATAATCTTTAAAAGTCACTGTTACAACTTTATACGATGATTGAGGGAAATCCTGAGTGCTGTCCTTTGCTCTCTTTAATGGGATTGGGTATAATTGACTTTTATTTTTATTCATTCTTTCTTGAAAGGGAAACATCTGGGAACAGATTTTACGAGTACCTTTCATCTTGGAAATAATTAACGCGGTTCCCTTTGTTATCTCAGTAAGTCCTAAAATAATCTTTTAAAAAATAGTTTTGGCATTAGATTTCAGGAAAGTCTTATATATAAGTGCTAATAAAATATTTAGCTCAAATAAATAAATTTAGGTTCTGGTTAGAATCATGGTTTTAAGAAATAAATAAATCCATTGGGTAACTGGATTGTGAAATTAGATGAAAACTAATGAGATTTAGTACAATGGTAAAATGAAATACATCTTAGAAATGTATGGTCTAGCAGTGCCATTTAAACAAGTACATATATTGTCTAAACAGACTAGAAATGACTCCATTTCTTGTGTATATTGTGGAATTAAAAAATATAGAAACTATGTAGAACCCCATACTTACAGACACTGCCCACATTGAGATATATTTCTCCCTCGTTTAACTGCAAGATTGACTAAGTCCAGTTCTCTCCTTAATAAGAAATTTGCCAACAGCCAGCCAGCAACTTGCTTCTTTGCCAAGTCGATGGCACACCAAATGGACGAAGATTTTGTTCAATTTCATGTTTCCATTGCCAAATTTGGTTTTAATTTCTGTCTGATAGAGTTGTAGTAATGTCTGTAGGGATTATGCTTTCTAACACTTTGAGTTTTATTTGGAAAATTATGAAAATAAGAAGATATTTAAAGCTGTTGCTCACTTCTGACAATTATTTTAATCTGAGCAATTTATCTAGAGAAGCAACTGGAATTAGAGTAAATGACTAAGTAAATGTAATTCCAATTAAACATGGTTCCCCAATGTCATTTTAAATGTCTGGACCCCGAGAGTGAGTGGCAATGTTATAAAAGGTGAGACTTTCTTTTCTTTCTCTTACTTCCCCCCTCAAATCACAAAGAAGAAAGCAGCGTGTCTGTTAAAAACTGTCACAGTAAAAGAGTTCATGGTAGAATTAGCACAGCTACATCTGACATCCAGTGAGAGCTTATTCTTTTCTTTCTGCTTCTACAATAATTTTCCAAAGAATTTTTCCCTAAGAGTGAGACAATGAATGAGAAGATCATATCTGCTCCTTGCATTTTATTAATAATATGAGTTTAATGCATTTGTCATATTTCCAATTGTTATATTGTTTTTCATAAATTTCTGTTCTACATTTCTTCTAAATATGCTGGATATGATGGCTTGCTTTGAGATGAAAGTTTAGTTTTGATTCATTTTTCAGATATTTTGGCCTTCCTTAAGGAATCTCTTTGTCCCGGTCTTTCTAAATTGCTGGCTTGCCAAACATGCCTTGGAAAATATGATTGTAAGTACAAAAGCGACATGCAAATACAAAAATATCTTTCAGCCTTTCATCATTTCTTACTCTCAGTGTTCAGATTAAACAGACAGAAAATGAGTTGACGTCTTTGCCTCATTACTTTTTCATTCTGTTTTTCCCGCATAAAATGTAAATTCATATTACTGGAATTTATTGAGTTATAATTAAATATCTAAATGTTTTATTTTTAAACTTTTCAATGAAATTAATGTCTTAGTAAATAGTCAACTTTATTTAAATGTTTATAAAAATGAGAGAATTTTGGTAAAATGCTATTAAATAGTTAAAGTGATATGTTGTAGAGATGCCTAAGCTAACGACCTTACGTGATCAGTATGCTTGTACCCTAATCTGAATGAAAACTTGCAAAACACCCATCTGGCCAAATCACTGTCTTTTTCAGGCCCTGTGAACTGGTGATCCAAAGTGATTTAGATTTTCTAAGTATCATCGAACCACAGCTAACTGCTGTTTAGACGGGTCCCATGAGTGAGTCATCTTCTGAAGACAAATGACCTTTTCAGGCAAACTTGTTATGCATAACGGGACCCCTGGTCTTCAGGGTTCAGGAAGTCATGACGTCAAACTGTTCTTAACTGCCGCTGGTCTCCCCTTTTGTAAAAATCTGTGGGGTTTGACAAGACCCTGTATTCAAACTGGAAGCCCCTCATGAAAGCCATCTTTTTAGATTTGCTTGGGTTGTGAGTGGGATATTTGGAGGGCAAACGAAATCAGAGTCAAAGATGCTGAATTCAGAATGTGCCTGAGGCGGACCCTGTTTGGAAGGGCTGATTTATTACTATGACAAAATACTCTGAGGTAGGGTCACCACTTACTTCTTAGTGAGGTGTAAGACATTTGCTATCTTGTGACTTACTCTATACATGTTGAACTAAGTCCACTCTATGCTAATCACTCATAGGATAGCCAAGTGATTTAATTTCTTTATCTTCAAAAGAGGACAAAAATATGTACTTTATAGGCTTGCTGTGAGGATTAAATAAAATTATATATAAATAAATCAATATGTATATGTGTGTGCATATACACATAAACATAGTAAGGGCTCCATATCATTAATTTTACTGTAATGAAATGAATTTTTTTCCAGAGGTAGACTTGTTTTTCTTTTAAATGGTTTTTAAATAGAAATTATGACAAAAGTTTTGGCCAGAAATAATATTTAGATAACATTTGAGAATTCATAGCTGGGTGAATGTTTTTAAACATCCCTGTTAATTGCCCACTGGAGCTTCCTGAAGGTGAGTGGCCAAACCGTGGGCGAATGTGGCCCACGGGGTGGTTTGCAGAAACGTTGAGTTGTCCTAACTGTTCAAGAAGAAAAAAAAAACAAAAACAACTTCACTAAATAGACATTTCCTAAATTGTTGATGAAAGAAATGCACCAGAAAAAAAATAATAAGCGTCTTTGCCAAAGTGTGTTATTAGTTTTTGGAAAAAATAATGTAACCAAGAAAGAAATGGTTAGTCAGTCCTTGACAATGGAAGGAGGACTTTGCAATATTCATTTAGGATCCACTTTTCATTACACCATTTCTGGTTTTTGCTTCTCATCCCCTCCCTGGCTGCTAAATTGCCTTTGTTTTCCTTCTCACTAACACCTCTGTTTTAAGGAAGTAAGAGTTGAGAGGTGAAATTCTATCGCACTTGCTTTTTTGTTAACATAACAGTTCTGGTTAAAGGTGTGGTGGAGGAAGAGAAAATGACAGCGCTTTGGGATTTTATGTTGGTGAAGTTTTCTCCTGTTACACTGATTTTAAGACCTTTAACAGTTTATTATTAAAAATTTGAGATAAACTGAAAACCAGAAAGTAAAAAAATTATGAACATCTACAAACCTACCACACTTAATACTAATAATGTATATCTTAATATTTTCTATTAACACACACAGACATGCATTAAATTACATTTCATGTTCAATTTTATAATTTGAACTTTTATCATATACTAGTATGAAGTGGACATGTTCCTATGTCATTAAATATTCCTCTTCAAATCAATTTTAATGGGTGTGTCTAAATCTATTATATAGTTTTGATCAATTCATTTAACTATGTATTGCATATTTTAGTTATTTTTATACTAATGAACATTTATTATTTCATATAATAAATATAATTTTGTAATAAAGATAAACAAATCATTATTGATTTCCATTTCAGATTATTTTCATGTCATTCATTTTTAAAAATTATGTTATTGAGTAAATACTTAATGAATACTTAATGAATGAACTGCAAAGGACATACTTGTGAATTGTGACCTGAATTCCCAAATTCTCTTCAAGAAATTGATAGTAAATTGCATGAGCAGTTATAAAACTAAGTGCTCATTTTTTTGCATCTTTAACAACATTGGGTGTTATTATTTTTAATGTCTTTCAATTGCAAAGATAAAACATATACTTGAATTCACCTTTCTTTTAATATTAAGTTAAACTTAAAAATATTTTCACAATGGCTATTCAGATCTTTTACTGATAAATTGTCTGGAGCAATGCGTGTTACTTTCCTGATTCAGAATGAGACTTGATAGTAGCCTGACGAAGCTTTTACATTCCCCCAACTACTGTACTACTTTCTGATCTTTTAAAATTGGAACTGACCATGAGAGAGGATGCTTCTCCTAGAGGGCTCCTGGCGAGTCAGTTTCTGCAGATGTTTGTAAAGTGAATAACTAAAATGTGGTGCTTTGGAGGTCCTCCTATTGTATTACCTTTGAAACGTGAATGTTTTGGTAAGATATATTTTGACTCGGGCAAAAAGGAAAATATGCTATCTATACATTTCAAGTATGTGTATCGAGTATGCACAAGATAGTTGAAATAGAATACATAGTAATAACTGTAATGAAACTTACGAATATTTATCAAAACTTAACATGTTTTTTCCATCTTATTTCAGAATGATCTACATAGAGCCATTCAGCGTACACAGTCTGCAATGTTTAATCAAGTTTTGATTTTAATATCTACATTACTATGCCTTATCTTCACCTGGTAAGATTGCACATATCAGCATTTTTATTATGTTTTGTTTAACTGTAGTTTAAAAAACTATACTATAAAATTTATATTAATAATAGTAAATTGTATCTTAACAATAATAAGCCCTATTAATTAACAATTGGATGACAATCAATCGGCCGTTCAGTCAGCGTTCCCTATCAAATGGAGCGGGTCACCTGCAGAAACAGAGGTGAGACCTCTGGCCTTTCAGAAAAAGCAAGGGGGCACGTCTGTCACACGGTGCTGATGTTCACAGCGTCTCTGGTGTCTTCCCAGATGCTGCAAATGACCGACACAGGAGTGTGTCCTGCACGCCACAGATGCCAAATCAGAATTTCCCTTCTAACCAGTGACAGGGAGGGGCCCTTGTGTTCCTCGTCGTCGAAGCAGAGGTGCTCTGAGAAAGCTGTCCTGAGCTGGGTGGCGCGTTTGCGTGCAGCCAGGCAGAAAGCAAGGGCAGATCTCAAAGGTGTTTTGCTACGGAAAACAGTTATTTCTTCTTTTGGAAGGTCCCTCTTTGGCAATTAAATTGTGAACCAATGTGAAATGGGGCACCGCTCATATGGATTCTTTCAGGTCCTCAACTCAAGAAAATAATGTGGATCTCAAAAAATGAGGTCGAACGGTGCGTCTCTTTTATAGGACTCGCGTGTATTATGTGTAATTGCACTGCGAGCTGGATTTGACCTACTGAGAAAGGTAAAAAGCTGATTAGGAGGTACCAAAAGAAGAGTGCACTCAAACACTATTACAGCTGAACTACACACGAGTAGAGCTGTTGATACATGTAGTTAAATAGTTATGCACTGTTCACAACTGCATGTAGCCTGAGAAATACATCTCAGAAATAGAGCTGGGTGACTCTATCACTGTGTGAATATCAAAGTAACAATGTTACTATGTTAACTTGGCTACAACAAGCTCCGTTATAATCCTTTGTCACCGCCCCCATGCATTTGGTTTGTCGTCAACCAAAATGTTGCTCTGTGGCCCACGATGGCATAGCTTTAGACATACAGGTGTGAGAGCCTGTTTCGTTCAGTACCCAGTTAATATGTCTATTAAATAGGCTTACATGCGTTTTATGACATACTTTTTTGTATTTTAAAAATAAACATTTTAGGATATTTAATGTTTTTTAACCATAAAGTATCCCTCTGAAATTGTCACAATGCCATCTTATTAAAATTTTCACCTTTCACAAGTTGTTTTCTATTGCTCACCTAGTAAATACTTCATGAATATGAAATACTAACAGTAATGACTTCCCTTCTAATACCCCTAAAAATTCTTAATTTTAAGGTAATAAGATTATTTGAATAATTTAGGAGATTTTTTTTTCCATTTTACTTAAGGAAAAGTACTTAAAATGAAAACTTTTATATATGTAGCACAGGCCAATATTTCCACTGCTGGAAAATTACAAAAAGTAAAACAAATGATTTCTAAACACTGTGGAAAATCTGTTTAAAAAGGAATTACCATTTTTTTTCTACCTGACCTATAAATGAAGGATATCTCACATATAAGTGTGTATATTTTGTATGTATTTATATAAGTATGTGTGTATATCTCACATAATGTAAAATATACACACACATACAAATATATCTATACATGCACAGATATGTTTTACATTGTTCTGATCATAGCCATAATTAATTGTTGTTTTTTAATAGAGCAAGACTGTCGATGCTTTTCAAAATCAGAACTTTCAATATGTACATTGTTATTTAAGCCCCCAAAGATTCAGGAACTAATATTTGAAGGCCTGGCAGCGTTGTTCACACATCTCACAACCTTCAAATTACCTGCTGAGGAAAGCTGGGATTCAGTTTAAAATGTATCTCCTCTCCCTCATTGTTAACATCACAAAGACCGGTCATTAGGCAGCTGGCTGCCAGCGAGGCAAGCGCAGCGCCAAGCTGCAGCGCCAGGGGCCCGCCGCTCTGCGGAGGGGATGCGCTCGGAACTGGCTTCTTGCCATTGTGGCGGAGCTGGACGGGCCTTCCCCACGTCCGCTGTGTGCCCCTCTCGGCCACCAGCGCGCACTCCCAGGCAGCTGGGACTTGGGATTCTGCCTGCGTCTCTCCAACAAACAAGGAAACGGGCACGTGCGGGAAGGACGTGCGTGACTTCAGCTTAATTATTAACGTAGTCTGAGCAATAATAAGCGATCTAATTTATAATGCGTTTGGTGTTTTCAGGCATTGGTAGATTGTTTTGAACTACTTTGCTTCCAGCTGTAGTTTTTTATCTGAGTATGTACGTTTACGTAATTTTTATATTATTTCATAGTTATAAAATAAAGAGATCTATTAAGTTGATGGATAGTTCATGTTTTAGTCAAATGTGAAACATTTCATTTACTTCTTCAGTCTTATTTCAGGAGAAAAGAAACTTATTCATTTATTTTTTGGAAAATGTGACTTAGTTAAACACTATTAACGTGCTTAATTCAAAAATACCTGGGACCTTTTGTGCACCGTTGGATAACACGCACTTGGCTGCCGGGTGTTAGGACCCGACTCCAGGGCAGCAGCTGCCGGGGGGCGGGCCAGCGCACGGGTGGGCGGTGTCGTCTGGAGAAAGTGTGAGAACAGGGCGGGATGGCGTCACCGCCATCGCATCTGACCCCTGGCTCTGATTGGTCGCGTTTGCTGGGCTCATGCTCTGCGTGGCCGGCAGGAGGCGCGCGCCCGCGCACCTGGCCGCTGACTGACCGCTCAAGGCTGCGGAATCCAGCGGAAGCCTGTGTGTCGCAGCTCGGTTTCGCCCAAGGGAGCCCCCAGGTTTTAGGTAGTTAATTAGCCCCGCGAGGCAAGTTTCTTTTGGGAGAAAAGGGAATATGGTCCTCAATGTATATAAATAATAATGATGTAATAATGATGTAATCAGTACGAATATAAAAATCTGAGTAACTTGGTTTGGGGTTAAAATTTGTTTCCAACAAGTTACTTTTGAAATATGATGTCAATGGTATTGCTGTTTTCGAACATGCAAATACTGAGAATAATGTCTGACATTTCAGGTGGTTACTATTGTTAGGCACACTTCTGAGCATGTCACAGGTATTAACTAATGTAATTTTCAACGGTCTACACAGTAAATTCTGTTATTATCCTCATTTCATAGATGAAGAAACCAAGACACAGAATAGTAAAGGAATTTACAAGCGGAACAGTTCGGTCGATCTGCCTTAAATGCTCACCTCCCTATTCGGCCATGGCAAAACTTCAGAAAGAAATAAAGACATTGCTTACAGGGGAATGAGAATCGATCTGATACCCATAGTCTCATCCGAGCTAAAACACTGTTCACAAATGCCCAAGAAAAATTGATTTAGGACCTGACAGTTAATAAAATGTAAAGCATCAGTGAATTAAGAGGGTCAAATTATTTTCAGACATACAAGAACTTAGAAAGTGCGTGACCTAAATATTTTAGGGCTGCACTACAGAAGGAAGAAAAAAAGGTGAAAATGAAGGTTGAATATGCACATAAAGTAGGACATAAGACAGAACTGCACTGGCACTGACCTTGGGGAGCCTTTTCCCGCTGCCTTTTATCAGAAGTAGAGTTGAAGGCTTAGCCAGGTGGGGCGGGGCAACATTATCGTGTTTCATGGCGAAGACAGCCAGCCAAGAGAGATTTCCGGTTAAAAATGAGGGCGAAGGAGCAAGAGGAGGCAAGTCCTCAGACCGCACCCACCCGCAGCCGATGACTGTGAACGGTCCCTACAAGAAGAGTTCCGAGGGGAAGGCTCTGTTGCGTTAGTTTTACACCGGTCAGGTTGGTCGTGCACGTGTGAAAGCAGCCAACCACTCATATCAAAGCTGTACACGCACAGGGCAGGCATATATGTGGTCTCATTCAGAAAATTACTCCATGATGAAATCTAGCCAATTAAGAAATAAAATTAAAGAAAAAAAATAAAGGAGACTTGGTAAAAGAGTTGAGATAAGAGATAAATCAGTTTTATTATAGCATCTGGCATGAATACTCAGTTCCTAATAGTAAAAATAATAGCTAACACTGAAAGTTCACCTTCTTTGCTGGGCAATTTTCTATTTTTTTTCCTGTATTAAATAGTTTCGTTTGCATGACATTCTATGGTAGATATTATTATCTTCTTTTTACAGACAAGAAACTGAGGCACAGAAAGGTTAAACCAAAGACAAACCTTAGCTTATTTTAGCTGAGGTTCACAAGGAGTAGAGCTCAGACGTGGACCCGGGCATATTGGTTCAATAGTCCACGTGCTTAGCCATTGTGGTGTTCTTTACATTATGTCCCAGGAGTCGTTAACCTGGGTACATAAAGTTGACAATCAAGCAAAAAATCAAATAGGGTGATAATCTTCTCATCTCTATTATAATCGATTTTTAAATTACTGTTTCAAGCAGAATTATATTTTAAGGAAAGACATTAAGATGACATCATTTTAAGAACGTGTGTTTTGTCTTCTATTTCTTCCTTTGGATTTTTCTGTTCCCAAGTTTTCACTTTGCTCCGGCCATCCAGTCTAAATCCTGACTCTCTGCAGAAAAGCCTGTTCCTCCCCCATTATTTTGAAATAAAGAAAATGTGTCTGTGCGTTGTGGCAGAGGACGAGGTGTGGTCACATTTCAGGACTTATTCAACTGCAGTGTAAGGTGACTTCATTCAGGTGAATAGTTTAGGGCACGACTCACCGACCTTTTCCTACATAGACACACAGACACTGTCCAGGGGAGTAAGAACTTCCTTCCAATGACAGAAATACAAGATTGATTACTGCTGCAAGAACTCAATGTTTCCCTCGGCTATGTGAAATCCCAACATCTCCAATTACCTTAAGTTCCATGGGAATATTAGGCTTTAGGCAGACACTCTACAGGAAATGAAAATGATTATTTGGAACAATTTAATTGGCATTCATTCAGTAAGTACCCAAGCGCAAGGCGTGGGCTGATTCGAATGCTAAGGTCTGAACTACAAGCATGAAGTCA